TTTCAGCCATGAGCAATGAAGATGTAGCAGACAAATTCAGGTGTTGTTCCTCACTTCGTGGCATTTCTTACGTGGGAAGAATTTCCAGAGCTTTAGTTTGCGGCACCTTGCCGCTTGGGCCCTAACAATTTTTTGTCTGAGAACTTGCTGTATGTGACTTTGGAACTATAGCCCTGGACTCCCATGAATGTCGAGATCTTCTGGTTGCGTGTTGCAAATATTTAAGTTTCACCTACATCAAAAAACCTGTAGCCAAAAGTGTGCAAAAGTCGTGCAGTCCAGGCAACTTGTCGGCTTTATAATCCTTTGATGGGAATTTTATACCAAGACAAGATGTATGTTCTCTAAGTTGTTAAGAATTAATTTAAATCCTAAAAAAATATTTATCCATCTCATTCTTATTCTCATGATAAAACCAGACCAGTTATTTCATTTTCCAATGGTGTTGTGAATGCCTTTCTTGTCTAATTTGAAATGCCTTTGCTACTGATGTTGACATTTAGAGGTTTTCAACAATGTAAAGAACACCCCGATGAGACAACTGAGGAACTTTTATAAATTAGAGAAAGTTGGCTACCTGCAGAGAATTCCTAGTCTCCGAGTCCATTTGGGATTAGATTTGGAAGCCACTAAAGTTGGATTTGAGTATAAAATTGACGGAGAAATGGAATCTACTTTCAAGAACAAAATAATCTGTATTCTACTTGAAAAGCCCTTAATCACAATTTAAAAATTATTAAGAAGCTAAGTGCACAGGGTACAAAAGGGACACAACCAAAGACAACTCTTTTCAGCTTTAAGCCTTTTTCTAGTACTAAATACATTTGTAATCTACTCTCAAGTCTCAACTATACAGTCCTCTAAATTCCAGTGGCACAAAATACTGGAAGAAACAAGAAATGGAAGCGAAGTCGCACTAAAACGAATGACAACAGCTTCAATGTGCAGGAACTTTCTGTGCTGTTAATTGTTATTTTCATGCTTCCTTGGGATTTGTAGGGACAACTTGATCCCCTTCAGCACACAGTCCAACAACAATAATATGAAGAGGAGAATGAATTTGTAGTCCCATCATACCTCAAGCCCTGATGAAATATCAAAAATGTATAATCCAAACCATGTGCAAATTTTGCATCCGAGCAAGATACTATTTAGGTAATCAAAGAATTGAAGCTTTGTATGGGAAGTGTTCTATAAATGGTTTATTTCATAAATGGATAGAATAAGTGATCGATAAGTGGGTAATAGTTGTGGCTCTACTGAGATGTGTGGATAAAAAGTGATTTCACCAATTATTAACCATTTATAAACATTAGCCAAATGTAGACTTAATCTCCCTCCAACACGGCTAACTCTCGGAGGTAGTTTACGTGAGTTCTTGCCACATTCGAGGCGCAAACCCACTTCCTCAAGATTACTTTAATTTTTTTTTTGCATCAACCTTTTGCTATACCATTCTTTGATTGTACTCCTTTTGCATTTGCTTCCCTACTTTCCCAAATTCCTTTCTTCTTTCTCTCTTTCTCTTTTCACAGCAGAATCACATTGCTAAAGTGGGAAATGCAACTTTTTTATTTCAAATTCGACTAGCAAACTTGCGACTCTAGAGGTTGGTCTATTATGGATCATACTTGCAAGGCCTCGTTTATATTGATAGACCGGTTCATGTTAGGCTTGTTATCAAGTCAACATGTTTTTACTTTCACATATATTATTGCTGCAAATTTATAACGTACATAATGTAGTAAACTCAGGTCGACAACATTGCCCTACACAACTAATTAATTGAAGTGGTGTACATTGATCCTAAGAACATACCTGGTTCTAACTACTACAAATTTACCTGTTCAATAGCTTCATTCATTAAACCTTGTAACCAAATTTCCAAAGACTAGATCAATTTTTATGAATAAATAAGCATACACGTAAAAATTCATAAAATTGTCTAATAATGTAACGGAATATACTATAAAAGAAAAAAAAAATTAAAATCTCATCAATTTAATTTTCATTTCTTTTTAATTATGTAAATTAGACGTGCTGTGAGGGTTTGCTGGTGCTTGCAAATATTCAATAAGAAGATATTAGGTTGCTTGAAAGTTTTTCCATAATATTTTAATTAAACAATTAAGTATTAATGAAGTTACTTCGTTTGATAAGTTTGAAATTTGTATTCTTAAATTCGAAATGGGATCAACCTAAAGACTACCTTGCAAAGAAAAGAATCACCAAACTCTTCAAAATATCATCCGTTATTTAAGTGCCACAAAACTCTATCTCTCCCCTGCACAACACTCTTATATCTTCATCTTCATTATATTTCTTGAGCTTCCTGTTAACATCGTCAGAATCTTAGGTGACATTTTCAAACTAAAAGGTAACCTCTCATGTGATTGTTTCTTCTTAACATTAGTAATTGCCATTTCCATATTTGGGCATTGGGCGTTTATTACTGCTAACAATGAAACATTCCAATTATTTTTCTACATGAGAATCTATGGAAACCTTAAAAAAATATATATAAACTAGGAAAAGATCCAGACATGATTTATCCTTGATTTATGGCATTACTTATGTGCATAATCACCTAGAGCCTACTAAAATAGATAAATAGACAAGAAGTTTAGGAAGAATTTTAAAATACGTGTTAATTTAGAAATAGATAAAATTAAATGAATACTTGTGAAATTATTGAAATGTACGATTGAAAATTCGGTGTCATGTTTAATTACAAGCATGGAACTTGTCAATTAAATGTCTTCGGTGGATTTCATTTTTAACCTAGAAAATGTTGTAGTTTTTCATGAAATTGAATTTTTGGTTAGTGTGAATTGTCTAGAAAATAAATATGTTCATGTGTCTAACTTTAGGAAAATATTTTTCATGATAACATATAAATTAAGCACCCCAAAAGTAGGAATTTAGATAAAAAAAAAAAAAAAAAGGACATTTTTCATAGAAAATAAAGTCAATCAAACACATCCTAAGTTTAACTAATTTATAAATATTTTATAAATTTTCCAAACACGGGCTTAGTCAGTCATGTCAAATTCTTCTGTCAGTCGTTGAGACATTTTGTGTACAATTATTAATTGGGAAAATTGCATTATTGGTCACAATTCATGTTCTATGTATCTTGTTTGTATGAAACCTTTTTTTATGTGGACAGATATTTTGATCATCAACATTTGACTTCGTAATCTAAGTGGACGATTTCGTCCAAATTTGTGTTTTAAAAAGTTTAATTTACATGATGATTGTACTCTTTTTTAGTTAAAAAAAAAAAAATTAATTTACCCTATTTTGTTTCTATCTACTATGCTCTTATTTGGTGGGGATTAAAAATATATTTTAATATATTCTGATAAAAGTTGATAAAATATGTGGTTGAAAAGTTGTGAGTCCCATTAAATATGATTAAAATTAATTATTGAGCTTGAATTAAATTAATATATAGATTTTAATCCCTACAAACATGGAATATATCTTTTCTTTAATTATATTTTGTAAATAATTTATTTGTATTTACACATTTTACCATCAAACACACATAATTTTTTAGGCTATTGGTGCAATAAAATATAAAGGTTGAAATTCTAAATATCTTGATTATCACTCAGAAACTTCATTCTTATTTATAAATAGTGATGTTAGCAATTTTTCTTTAAGCCACTCATTTTCGGAAAATAAATTTTAGCTATTAGCAACGTAATGATCAATGACTCATTTAATTACAATTTAAATAATTTAAACTCGTGTGATATGAAATTTTTTATCTTATATTAAGAATAAAATGAAATTTTGGACTATATATTTGTTATGAAACTTGGATTAGAGCTAGAGTAGAACAAAACTCTCGAATCAAATCGAATGGAACGGCACCTGAATCGAACTGACCAATTCAATTCGGTTTTTTAAGTAAAATACCTGAACAGGTATCAGAATCGAGAACCGACGGGTTCGGTTTGGTTCTCGATTCTAGACCAAGAATCAAAGAACCGAATTTTCATAAATTTTTATATTAAATAAGCCAAATTATTTTAATTTTTAAAAAAATTTGCCAACTAATTAATTGAGACCAAGAATATGATTTTTGAGTTTCATTTGCCAACTAATTAATTGAGCCCAAACTATTATTTTTCGTGTTTTCAACCAAATCCAACTTTGTAATTCAAATCTCAAAGAATCAAAATTGAGCGGCCTAAGTTTTCTCAATCATTCTGTCATTTCTCAAATAATCAAAGCCGAGGGGCTTAGCCCTTTCATCTTACCATTTTTCTATCCTATTGATTGAATTTCCTTCTATTTAATCAAGGTAATTTATATACATTGGTTAATGGATACTGTTAGACAAATTATTGTTTTTATATTTTTAAATTGACTTATGTTATTTTGTAGAAGGTAATGTAGTGTTGTTATAAGAACTAAGATTTAATGTGTCTTTAGTTGGATTAATGTAGTGTTCAGTCAAAAAAGGGAATCATTCTCCTTATCTTCTTGAACTCTTTCAAAACTTCTTCAAGTCTATTGCCAAATCTCAATACTCTTCCAACAGTATTCCAATCAAAATACTCATTAGAATTCGAGTCACAATCCAATTCTAATACATGCCATCAACACACACCTCCTTTTTCTCACTCCGCACAACACTCTTATATCTTCATCTTTATTATATTTCTTAAACTTCTTGTATCCATGTTTAGTGGCATTACTTATCTGCATAATCATCCAATGTCTACTAAAATAGATAAATAGTCAAGAAAAGTTGTATGGTGTTATTAAATTTTTATCCTCCGTTTCGGAAGAATTTAGAAACGATTTAATTTATAAATAGATAGAATAAGTAAGTACTTATAAATCCACTGGAATATGTGGTTGAAAATAATGTTTAACCGATTTATAATAAAATTTCCCAATAAGAGACTTAGTTATTCACATCACATTATTCTGTGGTATTTATTTCTTTTTATACGCAATTATTTATCGGGAAATTGCACGATTGTTCCTAGTCTATGTTCATGTATCCGAATGGTGCTCAACCTTTACATATGGACATTTTGAATGATTATTCAAACCTCTTTCTTGTTTATAGAGACTAGAGAGAGCTCTACAATTTTTTTTTTATTTTTTTAATTTTCAAATGAAACTATATAGACTATATATTTGATGTGAAACTATGGATTCGAGCCCGGAATCCCTTTGCTTGCAAGAAAAATGGGAAAAGAAAAGAAAGAGTAGAACTGAGGGAAAAAATGTCCAATATTCTAGGATTCACCAAGGGTACGTACTATGGTAACAAAATAGTTCCATAGACAGAAGCTATCTTTAATGTTTAATTACATGCCAAAATGATACAATAAACAGCACCAAAAAGTCAAAATCAACAAGTATAATGACAAATCACTGCATAGAGAACTTTCAGTCCTATCAACCATGTTTCTTTCCAATTCCATATATTTCATATAATTTTGCAAATAGAATTGACCAGTTATGGGGGAATAATTCTTTTTCCTTTTGCTATTGATACGTTAAAGTTTACTAAAAATTGTGGAGGAAGTAAGTCTACGACACTAATGTGTTTTTTTAATGCTAAAAGGCTTCTTTGATACTGCTGGAATATCTACTGTTTGAGCTGGGAAATTAATTATGGCTCTAGAAATAATCGTTTCTGTTGTTGGGAAGCTCATTGAGTACACAATCGATCCACTTTTGTGCCAATTCAAGTATATGTTCTGCTACAAAAGGAAAATTCAAACTTTGGTGGATAAGGTGAAAGCTCTTGAAACTAAGGAATTTGAGGTGCAAGAATTGGTTCATAAAGCAAAAAATAATGTGGAAGTTCTTAAACCTGTTGTTGTAGATTGGCTGCAAAATGTTGATGAAATAAAGAAAAAGGCAAATGAAGTTTTTAATGGTGCAACAAATTTTGACATCCAGTGCCTATTCCTTCGATGTCCAAATTTGAAGACCCGTTACTTGCTAGGCAGAAAAGCCACAAAGAAGACCGTTGAAGTTGCTAAGCTCCAAGAGGAAGGTACATTGTTTCAAAAGGTGGGCGAACCTAAACCACTAGTGCAAATACCTTATCAAAATCCCGGTGATTTTGGAGTTTTCGAAACAAGGATTTCAACTAAAAAGAAAATCATGGATGCTCTAAAGGATAAAAATGTCAGCATAATTGGGATCTGTGGCATGGGTGGAGTAGGTAAGACGACAATGGCAAAAGAAATAGCTAAAGAAGCCAAAGTTGACAAATTATTTGATGAGTTTGCATGGGCAGATGTATCTCAAGTTCCAAATGTAATTAAAATTCAGGATCAACTTGCTGGAAATCTCGGTTTGAAAATTAAAGATATTACTGATAAATATGTAAGAGCCGAACGATTTCGTGAAAGACTTGGAAGTGATAGAAGTAAGAGCATTCTTGTAATATTGGATGATGTTTGGGAGGATATTGGGTTGGAAGCTATAGGATTTCCTTTAGCAGAGGATGATAAAAGGTTGAAAATTCTATTAACATCACGTGATAAAGATGTGTGCGAGAGAATGAAAGCTCAAAGGATTTTCGATGTCAACATTTTAAATGAAAAAGAATCGTGGGAACTTTTCAAGGAAAAGGCAGAAATTTCTGATGATGTAGCAAACAATATAAAGGGTACAGCAGAAGAAGTTACAAAGGAGTGTGGAGGCTTACCTCTCACACTTGTGACTGTAGGCAGAGCCCTCAATAAAAAAGCAGAACATGTATGGAAGAATGCACTTGAAGAACTACAAAATTCTAGAGTGGCCAATATCAAAGGAGTGCAAAAGTTGGTATACTCAAGGATAGAGTTAAGCTACAACTATCTAGAGAGTGATGAAGCCAAGTCCTTGCTTCTGCTCTGCTCTTTGTTTCCAAAAGAACATGAAATTTCAACTGATGATATAGTTAGATATGCATGGGGGCTAGAGTTGTTTAAAGATACGACGACATTAATTACAACTAGATATAAGGTAAACTCGATTGTTGATAATCTGAAAAGTTGCTATTTACTGCTCTCAGCTGATATTGAGGGTGTAAGATTGCACGATGTTGTAAGGGATGTATGCTTACAAATTGCATCAAAAGACAAGCGTGCATACATTGGTTTAAAGGAATGGCCAAGACGTGATAACAATGAATTGTACAATGCAATTAGTTTGACTTCAAATGAGTTGAACCAGCTTCCCAGTGGGTTAGAATATCCAAACCTAAAGTTTCTACTAGTGATATGCAATCAACAATCACTGAACACATCCAAAGAATTTTTTGCCGATATGAAGGAACTCAGAGTTCTTGATTTCACTGGTCTAAGTATTCAAATTCCATCATCAATCCAATTGTTAACCAATCTTCGAACTTTGTGCTTGGACAATTGTACATTAAACATTGAAAATTCTACTATTGGGAATCTAAAAAAGTTAGAAGTTCTCAGTTTTTATTGCTCTGATCTCGATCACTTCCCTGATGATATAGGACAACTTAGCAACCTAAGGTCATTGGATTTGAGGTTCAACCAGAACTCTAGCTGTTCTCAAGTTCCATATGGCATCTTATCGCAGTTGAAGAGATTGGAAGAACTATACATGGGTGTCATTGGAATAAGAGAAGATGAACTTGAACAACGAAGGTACATTATTAATGAGATAAGTTCATTGACGGATCTTAATACTTTCCAAATCATCACAAACGATCCTCAGTTTTTGTTGGAATTATTAAAAGATATGTGCATTGAGAAACTGGAAAGATTTCATATCGAATTAATCGACCTAGAGTATGCTCGTGAGAACATCAAGGAGTATTACTATTTTGGAAGGAGATTGCATATACATGGCATCACTTATGCTAACGTGCTTTCACAACCAGCAATTAACTCATTGATGAGGAGATCTAACCATCTGTCTATAGAAATGGACTTGAATAATCTTAATGATCTTTCTCTACAAGTGATGGAGACGAAGAATATGTTAGATGAAGATGGCTTCGAGTATCTGAATGGAAATCATCCAACAGGAGCATTTGATGGATTACAAGAGATAAATCTAAATGGCATACCAAAAATGAAACATCTGTTTAGGGGTGTCATCAAACCTCCATCACTCCACAACCTTATGTTTCTTACTATTAGAAGTTGCCCCTCATTGAAAAGCCTATGTTTTCAGTCAGTTGTATTATGCATGGTGAATCTCCAAAGTTTATGTATCTCCAATTGTGAGATGTTAGAGGAAATTGTTTCGATGGACATGGAACAAAATGAAATTGCTGAGATGCTTGTGTTCCCAAAACTACAGAGAATTGAACTTCAGGAATTGAGAAATATTAGGAGCTTCAGATGTGGATCTAACAAGACCGTCGGTGTGCTTAGTCCACTGTTCAAACAGGTAATTTTTTCTTTATTGTGTTTGTATGGAGCACATTTGTTATAAAACACATGAATATTATGAATTCTAACCGATATAAAAATTACGAATAAGAAATTACAAGTCTCGTTTCTCAATTTCTAATTAATTCATACACAGTTCTTATTTTATGAAGCTTGTGATCCAATCCTTAAAAAAAATTGAAAAAGATTTACAAATAAGTTTTAAATGACACACACTAATATTTCCTATATGCTTTCATTAAAGTAGTGTGTAATTTATCACCTTATATTCTGTAATCTTAAGACAACTTTCTACAAATTAATGCTTCTTTAATTTCCTAATTATTTAAGGCATTATATTTCACTACTGATGAACTACAGTACTAGTTTATATACTTAAAGCCTTTCTGTAGGGACGTCAATGAATTTTTGGTCCCAAAACTTTCACTTATGGTCCTAATGGCATATACTTGGGACCTTAATGCCAAAAATAAAAGTTTTAGAACCAAAAATGCATGAAGGGCAAAGGTTTAGGACCGTTTATGTACATTTAATAATCACCAATGGGCTTGATAAATAGCATGTAATATAAAACCCATTATTTTCCCTAGATGGGCTGGGCTAGTGATCAACCCCAACAATCTATTTTTTCCCTATGAATATTTTCAAAAAATCAAGATGGGTTCTCAGCACCCACATATCAAACATATGTTCAGACTTGGATCGATCTTTGCATTCTCTAATGGGCTCTATGACTCTATATTTCACATTTCCATAATTTTTTTTATTAATATATAGTTATTTTCGCTGTTATTTATATATGTTAATTCATCTCAATGTTTTAATTAATTCTACGAAGTTAAAGGTGATATTCATACTTATGAAGTTCTATGATTACATAATTTTAGCCAACACATTAAGTAAATTTCTTGCAGGTTACATTTCCTAACTTGGAGGTGTTGCACATTAATGGACTGGGCCGTAATACGAAAATATTGGATGAACTAAGGCAAATCAGATCCCATAAACTAACAGAATTGAGTGTGGGACAATTGGATGATGTATACATTCTGTTTGACTTTGAGTATAAAAAAGATGATGCAGAAATTAGTATTCTTAGTCAATTAACATCATTGACTGTGGCATCTCTACCCGAATTAGTGCACATTACAAGGATGGTTCCTAAAGGAATTTATATCTTTGAGAATTTGAGACAACTTTTTATTGGAGTATGTCAAAACTTAAGGTACTTATTCTCACCTTCAATGGCTAATTCGCTTGTGGCTCTGGAAAGTTTGTGGGCTCTGGGATGTATAGAACTTGAAGAGATTGTTGGAAGACAAGAAGAAGAAAACACTTCAAACATCGAAACTGTGGAAGAAGGAACGACAAGCAGAATTGTGTTTCCGAAATTGAGAAACCTAGGATTTCTTCATCTTGATAGATTCAAACTGCTTTCCTCTCAAAACTATGAATTCGTGTTCCCTTCACTAGAGTATCTGCACGTTGAAAATTGTCCTATGATTACGAAATTGCATCCAAGGCAACTAAGTGCACCAAAACTTGATAAAGTATGGATAAACTTTGAACAATCCATTGATATTTCCAATTTCTTGGATTTTGAAGGTATACAAGTATCTTCTTGATTCCCAATTTACAACATCTACCCGATTATATACACTATAATATACAATATTAATTAATGTGTGAATAATTGATAAATTAACATCCTCTGTTTCTCAGGCTCAACATATATGTGAGAGGGCCACAAATTTGTTGACACTTCCAGTATTGTTTACGATGCAGGTACACACTTCCAACATATAGTTGAATATATACGTCGTAATTTGTACATTATTAATTATTTTATGAATAGCTGGAAAATAATATGCTCTGTTCCTTAGGCTTTCTGCCATGAGCAATAGAAGCATAACTTTTATTACAGAACAAATGAAAATTTATTCACTAATGTACGAATAGCTGCCAAATTAATAATGACTACTCTTCCCCCTGATGACCTCTTTTTTAAATCTCCTGAGGAGCTTTTCGACAATTTCTCATTGACTTATTTAACAAGTAATAAGCATTCTTTCTACTATTTGAAGTAAAAATTATAAATGGTTGATGTCATTATGTTAGTAGGATTAGTTTAGTACTTTTTTTTAGGATTTATGTATAATTAATAAGCAGCCATATATTATTAGTGACAGAATGAGGCGCAGATAGAAAATTGGTTATTGGTGTCTGGATGGATGGATGATGACAGCTCCAGGCAACTTCGAATTTCGATTATTGCTTTCTAGGCTTTTAGTTCTGAGGGGGATTCAGTTTCAACTGAAGGTACAAAACTTGGAAGTCGAAGGTTCGTGAAACTTTTGTTGAAGCAATTTGTTGGCTTTTTAATCCGAAATTCAGTACTGAGGGGGATTCTTGTATCCTAAAGCTTTTATTTGTTTTGGTCCTATCGATGTGTGATTGTTTTGGTCCTCCCAAAACTTCATTTGCGAAGCTTGTTCTCAAGATGGAACCAGTTATTTCCTTTTCTAATGGTGTTAAGAATGTGTTTCTTGTCTAATTCTTTGCTATTCAAAATAAAATAATAAAACGTTGAATCTTTATCAAATAATAATCTATGTCATCATAAAGTAGCCACTAGGCATAAAACATTAGTGGTATGTTTAGAAGAAAAAAATTGTGAAAATTTTATGCAGATGACAGGTTGAAGAATTAGTACAAGAAGGAAGAATGCCCAGATTACAAAATTTCAAATCCGTTAATAGAAATGGTGGCTGGGGGATCAATTTCACTAATGTAGAAAAGTTCTTTAACAATAAGGTGTATAAGTAAAAAATGTCATTTAAACAAAACAAAAAATGAAGAGTAAAATGGAGACTTCTTTATTCTCTAGCAAATTGTGTTTATTAATTTATCAGTTCTCTTTGTTGTATCCTGTAATATTAGAGTGAAGAAATCCATTAATTATATGTGTCGCACCATAAGCTTTTCGATCGGTCGAATAGAATTCGGATCACCATAATCTAACAAAGGAGAAGTGCAAGAAACAGCATTTGCCAAGCTAAGAAAGTAATTATATCTAATAATCATTGGATAACTCACGCTTCAGCAAAAAAGTTACTTATTGTCAAAGCAATTCTTGTTTTACTGTTAAAATTAGTAACTTAATTTCAAATTTTACCAAGAATAAAATTTTTAAGCTAAGCTAAACATACTCACTTTATTTAAAGTTGAAGGGAAACTTTACAACTTTTTCATGTGTCTACTTGGGGATTCTAATAGTTAATATGGACCGTTTGTGATTGTTAATGAAAATTTTAGGAGCCAACACCAAAACTAAACATTGAAGATAAAAGTATATATAAGAGCATAAATAAGGATGATTTTTGCAATTCATCCCTTCCAATTATTAAACCCAAACACGATATTTCTAGTGCAAATTTTGAAACCACAAAAACCACGGGAAGAGTACATTAAGAAAGGAAAAGGCCAAAAAATAGGGCTCAAACATGAGTTAATTAATTTAGAATCCTCGAATCACAAGGTATGTGGTTCCCCTACTTTCGTTATTGTTTTCTCATCATTCTCTGCTTTCATACATTTTAAATATGTCTACCTCCGTCAATGCTAAACTAATGATAAATATAATGTAATACGAAAAATCTGTTAGTGTATTGTCTTTATTGTCGAGTTATCATTTAATATGGGTGTTTCCTGCCTTCCTTCTAGTTAATGGGTGCATCTCAACAATAAATCGAAAGAAATTATATTAAGACAAAGAAATTACTAAATAGTTCATCTACAAGCTTGGAAGTCATTTAAAAAAAAAAAAAAAAAAAAAAAGAATATTTTATTGTGTGAATGTGTTGCTGAAAATAAGTGTAGAAAAAAAGTTCTCAAATAATGGTTGTCTAGTAGGGGCTTAGGTTTGTATGTTCGCAAACACACTTGTGCATCTGCACGTGCACGCGCATGCAACCCAATCAGTAACCATACTGCATTAACTAATGTGGCATTGTTCTTTCTAGGCAATGAAGAGGGTAGAATGGATCAAAAAGGAATAGTACTGAAATGTTGTATTATGTAATTTAGATTAAAATTGAACACAATACTGTAGATATATCCAAGTATGTACAATTCTTGGTATTGCGTTGGTTTCAACGTTTAAGATGAGTTTGTAACTCAGTGAGATGTATACATTGAATAATTATGGCGAAATTAGTAGTCTTGGGATATGATATCGGAAATAATTTAAAAAAAAAAAAAAAAAAAAAAAGAGTGTCAAATATATGAGTTTTACTTGGAAATCCTATGAAATTTGTGGATATAAAGTGGCTTAACTGTTTATAAATAAATTATAAACATTAGCCAACCATGGGCTTATATAAAAACTTCCGTAGTTGCTTGATAATATGTGCACATCAAAATAACACACAGATCTACGTGCTTTTGGGCGAAATCTTGGTTAGTAGAGTCAAATAGTGACTCAAATAAGATCAACAAGATTTAGACATTTATCATCTATCTATGTAGTAAATTGTGGTCAATATGTTAGTTGAGACTTTCAGACACACGTAAAAACATATATTGGAATCCTTTTATTAAGTGGTGTGGATGACTAAAAGTGGCGAAAATTTTAACAGAGTAATGATATTAATTGCTGGGATTTTAGCAAAGAACAATTTGTATCTTTGCTGAGAATATGTTTAGTAGCATATTACAGAGTTCTTACTGGGCCTTTCCCTCTTTATATAAAGTCACAAAATGATTCTTCTTAGACAAACATACTTTATGTAAAGTTGAAGGATATTTTATTTTTATACATTTTTCATGCCAACTTGTCCACTCTAATATTTAACTCGGACCATTTGTGCTTGTTAATAAAATTTCAGGAGCTTAATGCTAAAACTAAACTTTGAAGATATAAGTATATGTAGGAGCATAAATTCGACGCATCGAATTCATCCCTTCGAAACCCAAACACGATATTTTTAGTGGAACTTTGTTTAATCATCAAAACACGATATAATATCATTATTGATTTGTTTAATCATCAAAACAAGATACCTCGAGCAAACAAATGTGCAATTAATTAAAGTGGCTAGATTGAAACGAGTGATAATTTTGAATAAAACAGGGACAGCGATGAAGTCCATTACGTTATTTTTATTATTTTATTTTATTGCTTTCATTATTTTGGATTGGAGAAAATCCTTTAGAAGTGAGAGAGAATCAGTCCGAAAGATTGATAACTTAGATAACATTGTCTTGTCCAAACTTGATGTAAACAATTCTCCTAAAGATCTAAATAGAGAAATAAATAAATAAAATTAATTTTCGTCTTAATAATAAAAGTTCGAATTTAACGGCTTAAACAATGAAATTTGACAACAGAACAGGTGGCCATGAGGGTTTTAGCCCATGATTTCTGTCCATAAAAGTCATCCAGTTTCAATCAAGAAAATTGTGCGAATTAAAGTTTGGCAATAAAATTTTTGGGTTTCCAAATCAAGATTTATGAAGTTTAATTTCTAACAGGTTGTACTATATTAATTTTCACAACAAATTCGCATTAGATAATCAATGTAGAAACTATTTTAGTTATTTTTATTTTTTTTAACCACAAGCATTTTTTAATACACACAATATATATATATATACTTTATAACAACTTAAGCACGTAATCAGCTTATTAAACTCGAAGATCGATTTACCGCAAAATTTAAGGGAAGAGAATTGAAGGGATAGAAGGTAATTGAGATGCAGAGAGAAGAAAGATTGATCCACAAAATTACTTTTGACAAGTTTTATTATTGAACATATATAAAACTGGTATCTTTCTATTTAAAGTAATAAAAAAATTTATTTGAGCAACAAAAGGATATTTATTTAAAAAATTACATGAACTTACTTTGTTAGATAAAACATTTTTATCGTTTAAAATTTTGATTGTTATATTCAAAATGGAATAAAACTTGTGCCACTTTTGTTGGGAATAATAATGGCTGTAGGCATAGTCTTTTACGTTGTTGGGAAGCTCGTGGAATACACAATCGATCCAATTTTGTGCCAATTCAAGTATATGTTTTGCTACAAAACCAAAATTCTAACTTTGATGGATAAGGTAAAAGATCTTGAAATTAAGGAATCTGACGTGCAACAATTGGTTGTTGAAGTAGAAAGAAATGCAGAAGCTATTAAACCAGGTACTAAAGATTGGCTACAAAAGGTTGATGACTTAAAGAAACAGGCATATGAAGTTTTGGAAGGTACAACAAATTCTGAAATGTAATGCCTATTCCTTAGATGTCCAAACTTAAAGATCTATTATGTGCTTGGCAGGAAAGCCACAAAGAAGACTGTTGAGGTTGATAAGCTCCTAGTGGAAGGTACATTTCAAAAGGTTGGAGAACCTAAACCACTGGTGTAGACGTTTTATGAAAATCCCAGTGACTTAGGGGCTTTCGAAACGAGGATATCAACTAAAAAGAAAATCATAGAAGCTTTAAAGGACAAAGATGTCAGCATAATTGGTATCTGTGGCATGCCAGGAGTAGGTAAGACTACAATGGCAAATGAAATAGCTAATGAAGTCAAAGTTGACAAATTATTTAATGAGGTTGCAATCGCAGTTGCATCTCAAGATCCAGATGTAACTAAAATTCAGGATCAACTTGCTGATATGCTCGGCTTTAAAATTGAAGAGAAGACTAATAAAATTGTGAGAGATGGATGACTTCATGAAAGACTTGGAGGTGAAAGAGGTAAAAGCATTCTAGTAATATTGGATCATGTTGGGGAAGATATTGAGTTGGAAACTATAGGAATTCCTTTAGTAGGTGATGATAGCAGGTTGAAAATTCTATTAACATCTTGCTTTGAGGATGTGTGTAGTAACATGGGAGCTCAAAGGAAATTCGATGTCATTTTTCTATCTCAAGAAGAATCTTGGGTCCTTTTCAAGAACAAAGTAGAAATTTCTGATGATGCAACAGATGTTATAAAGGGTATAGCATAAAAAATTACAAGGGAATGTGGAGGTCTACCTCTCGCACTTGTGACAGTTGGCAAAATCCTTAGAAGAAAAGGAGCACATGCATGGAAGAATGCACTTGAAGAACTACGAAATTCTAGAATGACCAATATCCAAGGAGCGCACAAGTTGGCTACAACTATATAGAGAGTGATGAAGCGAAGTCCTTGCTTCTGCTATGCTCTCTGAATCCAGAAGATTTTAGCATGTATTTTGAAGATTTGGTTAGATATGCATGGGGGCTAGAGTTGTTTAAAAATACAACAACGTTGATTGCAACCATAGATAAGGTAAACTCGATTGTCGATGTTCTAAAAAGTTGCTACTTACTACTCCCTGATGAAAATAAGGAGTGTGTAAAATTGCATGATGTTATAAGAGATGTTTGCTTACAAATTGCATCTAAAGACAAGCATGTACATATGTCGAAACACACCGGTTCGAAGGAGTGGCCAAAACATGACAACGATGAATCATACAGTGCAATTGGTCTGACGTCTGTTGAGATGAATCAGCTTCCCAGTGGGTTAGAATATCCAAACCTAAAGTTTCTTAAAGTGAAGTGCAACCAACAGTTAGTGAACATATCTAAAGATTTTTTTTCCGATATGACGGAACTCAGAGTTGTTGATTTCACTACTTTGAGGATTCAAATTCCATTATCAATCCAATTGTTGACCAAACTTCAAACTTTGTGCTTGGACCATTGTGCACTAAACATCGAAATTTCAACTACTGGGAAACTAAAAAAGTTGGAAATTCTCAGTTTGTATGGCTCTACTCTTGATCACTTCGCTAATGATATATCAGAACTTAGCAACCTAAGGTCATTGGATTTGAGGTTGAAGCACAACTCTAGATATTGTCTACTTTCGCTTGGTATCTTATTGCAATTGAAGAAACTGGAAGAACTGTACTTGGGTTTCATTGAAATTAGAGATGATGAACTAGAACGACGAAGTGATAAGTATGTTTTTACACACTGATTTGGTTCACAAACATGACTTAAACATGGATAAAATGGTTGAATTGTGACTTAATCTAGTTAAATTCATGCATTGTAGGTAATTCAATGGAAATTGTGGAATTCAGGAGAAAAGAGCCGAAGAAGGACCAAAACGCAACAAATTGATAGTTCGAGGACCAAAAGTGCAAATATTGAGAAGTTAAGCTAAATGCAAAACGAGAGTAAAAACATGCCGAGTATGAGCGCAAGGGAAAAGCAAAACAAGTGGAGGAAGAAAGAATCAAAGAGGGACTGAAATGAAGACAGTTAAAAGTTGGAGGACTAAAGCGCAAATACTCAAAAGATGAGCCGAATGAGTGGCAAGAGATTCGATGGTGTCAATCATCAATTGGAGGATAACATTTGTTGAAAAGATGAAGAAATCGAAGAAAGAAGTCAAGAGAAGCAACAAGGAAAGTTCAGGGACCAAAATGTAGAGACTTCATAGTTGGTTAGTCTATGCGACCGCATAGTGCAACCATCTATGCGGTCGCATAAATGGTTGCAGGAAATTTTGGGGGAAAATTTATTGGTCTATGCGACCGCATAGAAACCTTCTATGCGGTCGCATAGTGATACTTCGGGGGCCTCCGTTGCAGTTTTTTGTTTTCGTTGAAACTCTTTTCCTACTTGATTTTGACGCGATATAAATACCCAAAATCATCAAATTGAAGGAGGAAACGACCAGGGAGAAGAAATACACTCAATTTGAAGGCAAGAAACACAATCTTGGGTTTGATTTCACAAGGATTCAAGAAGGAATTGAAGATTACACACAAAATTGAAGGATTATCATACGGGTGTATTCTTTATATCTTTTAATTTCATTTTAATTCTTGATTCTGTAATTATGATCATAGGCTAGGGTTTTTATTCATTAGGAAATCGATGAACCTTTGATTATTTAATTTCCTTTATTTCATAAATTCAATATAAAGTTTCGGTTGGACAATTGTTTGATTTATATGATTTGATTGCTTCCATAATTATTGGCCATATGTTATGTGAGTTTAGATGATTTATTCTTTGCATTCGAAAGAAGGAGAATAGATTCGATATAATATAAATTAACATAGAGTTCGATAGGGGATAGAAATATACCCCTATGCTTTGTGCAATTCATAAGGTGTTCATAAAAATTCATACGTTCTTGTATATTTGCATCATCCATAGAAATATAGGCTGGTGGTGTGCAAGAGTAGATTCAATATATATCAAGATAGTATATTGGATAGGTTTAGGAACATTGAATTGGCATTTTTCCATCGATTCGTTGAATTTGTGAAATTAGGGTTTTTAATAGTCAATTGGGGATTCGAGATCCTAATGATTGCATTTCAATTTATTTCTATACATTAACTTCCAAAATTGCGTATTTACATTTTAATTGAGTTTTTGAGTCATTCAATTAGTGAAATTTCGAAATTAGGGCTTCCAATTTCGAAATTAGGGTTTTCTTTAGAAATTAGGGTTTCAAATTGGGGATTTCTCCCACAATTAGGGGTTTTCACATTTAAACCAAATTTTCATTCAATTAGATTCGGTTAAGGTCACATTAGTCTAATTAGAGCTAATTCAATCCTCGTGGGAACGATACTTGGACTTATAGTCCATTTTACTACTTGTTAACGAACCGTACACTTGCGGTGGGTTTTAAAATTGAAAGAAATATTCTGTGAATAAGTTTTTGGCGCCGTTGCCGGGGATTGAATTTTAGTTTTAATTCTATATTTTGTGACACTAATTCGAACTTATTTAGTTTAGTACTTGTTAATTTTATTAGATTTATTTTATTATTGTTTATATTAAATTTTTGTGTTAATTCTGCCATATTAGGGCTTGTATACAAGGAGCACCTAATCAAGATTTGGTCCCTATAGATCCAGAGATCGAACGCACATTCCGTCACAGGCAAAGGGAAGCAAGAATGGTACAACAAATGGCTAATGAGCAAAATCAACCGGGAATTCTACTCAACGAAGGTTTGGCAGTGGAAGAGGATGGAAATACGGTACTTGGGGATTTCATGGCACCATTGGTGGTGCAAAGTCAATCTAGTATTGTATATCCTCCATTTGGGCAACCGAACTTCCAACTGAAGACAAACGTGATTCAACTATTTCAGAATGGGCATCAATACCATGGGATGGCTAGTGAGAATCCGCATACACACATATCTCGATTTCTTGATATGCGTCAACACTTTAGATACCAAGGTATCTCCGATGATGCTATAAGACTGCGCTTGTTCCCGCACACCTTGAGGGATAAAGCACTTGAATGGCTGAATTCACTCCCTGTCGGAAGCATCACTACTTGGAACGAGCTAGCTCATAAATTCTGCACCAAGTTCTTCTCGCCAGCTAAAGTAGCTAAAATGCGGCATGACATCTCAATATTCAACCAGATCGAGTCAGAATCATTTGAAGAGGCATGGAACCGTTTCAAGAACATGTTAAGGAAGTGCCCGCAACATGGCTTTGACAAGAAGACCCAGATCAGATTTTTCTACACTGGATTACTCCCATCATTCAAGAGTATGGTGGATGCATCATCTGACGGGTCTATCTCTACAAGAACAATTGACGGAGCCTAGGAGCTGTTTGAGAGGATAGCTACAACTTCAGCTATGTGGTCTACAGATCGAGTAGTTCAGAAGAGAGCACTTGGGGTGTATGAAGTAGATACTTACTCAGCACTGTTGGCAAAAATAGATTCCTTATTCCATAAGGTTGAAAGCATTTCACAAACCGTCACTGCTAAGCAAGTTATGAAGCAGAGTTGTGAAGAATGTGGAGCAGATCACAATACTGCTACTTGCCCAATTCTAGCACAAGGAGTAGAACATGCAGAATTCGCACAATGGGGTCAACGTTAGCAGAATAACCCACATTCAGAAACCTTCAATCCAGGCTGGAGAAAACACCCAAATTTCTCGTGGGCTAATCAGAATCAAAACAGACCACAAGGGCAATATCAGCAGCAAGACAAAAAGCCACCATTGGAGGATATGTTCGAGAAATTTATGGCCCAAACCAATCAGTACATGGAAGCCAATAACCAATTTATGCGAACGACGGAAACAACGCTTCAAGATCAAAGTGCAGCGATCAAGAACTTGGAGACACAAGTGGGACATATGGCAATTTCCATGACGGGTAGAGCACCGGGAAACCTACCCAGCAATACTGAAATTAACCCTAAGGAACATGCAAAGGCTATAACAACCAGAAGTGGAGTACAACTGCCGGAACCACATGTAAAAAGTTCGGGAGCCAACAAGAAATCAACGCCAACCTTGGAGGAAGAAATTGTGGAGCAAACTGACAATGCAACAGGAGATGAGGTTAAGAGGAATTCCAAGACATCACAGGGTAAAAATACTAATCCTGTTAACCCTCATGAGCCTCCTATTCCGTTTCCACAAAGGTTGAGAAAGTATAAAATGGATCAGCAATACAGTAAGTTCCTTGAAGTCTTCAAGAAACTGCACATCAACATCCCATTTGTTGAAGCACTTGTCCAGATGCCGAACTATGCAAAATTCCTGAAGGATATCCTCTCCAACAAGCGAAAGATAGAAGAACACGAAACAGTAATGTTGACTGAGGAATGCAGCGCCAGAATCCCGAGAAAGCTACCTCCAAAACTGAAAGATCTAGGGAGTTTTACTGTACCCTGCACTATTGGAGACTGT